GGAGAGTAGAGAGGTTAGCACAATCTACTTTGCAAGCAGTTGGTGGTTATCATAGCTCTTTTTGTTTCTGTTTAAAAATATATACATTTCAAACATGATATGGCACCCCACAATGATTATATTTGAAATGATAGTAAAATAAATCTAAAATTGCCTTTGACTTTGCTCTGATGTTCCTCAACTTAAAAAGAGAGACAATATGATGTAATGGCAAGAATGTGGATTTTGGAGACATACAAGAATTTGAAGCCTTGCTGGTCAATAGCTTTTCTTATAATGATATCAGCAAACTCCCCATTTATGCCTCTGATTTCCTATATGACCTTGAAAAAAGCCATTCTTATTAATAATAGAAAGAATAGCAGAGTACTATTTATTACATATCAGTTATCTTAAGTGCATTACATGAAATAACAATTTTATAGTCTTCCTATCTGCCCTATAAATTTTGTGGTGTTAATATTCCAATTTTAGACATGAGAAAACCAAGACATAGTGAGGTGATGTAATCTGCGCAGAGACCTGGAGCTAGGGTAGAAAATTCATGTTGTCCAAAACAAATTCAAAACCTCAACTCAAAGCAGCCACAGTCTAATGTCTGTTGTTTAGCAACACGCCCTCAGATAATTGCAGAGTGCAGCAGCTACTAAATACCAACAGTATCAGTAAAAGTAAAAACAGCTAACACTTGTTTAGCTACTTACTGCATGACTGCTATTACCCTGACAACTTACTGCTTTTAATCTTATAAAGTCTTCCCCATAACCCAATGAGGTAAATCCTCTTATAGACAAGGAATGGGAGGCAGAACAAATAAAGTCCTAAGTCATAAAGTTATTAAAGGCTAGGGCAAAAATTTGATTTCTGGTATGACTGGGTTGACTCTAGATTCTATATGTTTACTTTTCTTTCTTCTCTTTTCTTTCTTTTTCCCCCTCTCCTTCCCTTTCTCCCTCCCTCACTCCCTCCTTTTTTTCCTTCCTTCCTTCCTCCTTCTTTCCTTCCTTCCTTCCTTCCTTCCTTCCTTCCTTCCTTCCTTCCTTCCTTCCTTCCTTCCTTCTTCCTTCCTTCCTTCCTTCCTTCTTTCCTTCCTTTGTTATGGCACACCTTTAATAGTTCTTGAATGAATGGGTAAATTTTCCCTTTCTTAGTCCTAATTCTTCACTGCAAAATGGTTATGATTAATAATCGCTCTCAATAATGAAATATATCACAATTTTGTGAAAGTAGGTATTATTATCATTCCTATTTTATGATGACACTGAGACTGGAAAAAGGTTCAGCCATTTCATCAAATGTACTCATTTAGGAAAAGATAGAACCAAGCCTCAGAACTGGCCTTCACTGTCCAAGTGCTCTATGCCTCGCCTTCTCCACGTTTTCTCCTCTGAAGTGTGGACTCTCTGATGAAATGTTCTTGTGTACTGGATGTTTTGCGATTGTAGACTCATGCTTTTCCGTAGACTACGTATTTCTTTATTTATTATAACAACTTGGAAATAAATATATCCAATTTAGTATTAGATAGAGGTAAAAGGCAGAGAGCTGAGTCACTGCAATGTTCAAAAGATTTTAAAAGCCATTTGCAGCTTGCAACATAGAAAAGTACAGGAAGAGAGACTTGACACATTGAAATTCAAATGTATCTTTCTGGCAGCAAACTATCTCTGGGTCCTGGGAAGCCTGAGTCTGGGTGAGCTGAGAAGTAATGAAGCCCTGCGTCTCATGTCATTGACTCTGGCATTTCAAGTACCACATTCATAACAGTAGATGCAAACTGCTGGGTCCCTCTCTACTCCACTAAATTGAAATGGTTCCGCAGGGTAATATGGCAACAGGGAAGAAAGAAAAATAACATTTCTTTTTCCACTGTAAAAAGAGAAGGTGCCGATGATGTTTATTCAAAAGAGCAATGTCTGGAAATGGTGCTGGGACATGGTGACATTATGCCTAGCCATGCTTCAGTAAAACATTCAACATCTTAGTGGAGACGCATGCTATCACGAGGTTGCTTCCTTCCTTCCTTCCTTCCTTCCTTCCTTCCTTCCTTCCTTCCTTCCTTCCTTCCCTCTCTCTCCTTTCTCTTTTTCTTTCTTTTCTTTTCTTTTTTCTTTCTTTCTTTCTTCTTTCTTTCTTCTTTCTTTCTTCTCTCTTTCTTTTCCTTCCTTCCTTCTCTCTCTTTCCTTTCGTTTTCTTCTTTCTTTCTTCTCTCTTTCTTTTCCTTCCTTCCTTTGTTCCTTCCTTCTCTCTCTCCTTCCTTCCTTCCTTCCTTCCTTCCTTCCTTTCTTTCTTTCTTTCTTTCTTTCTTTCTTTCTTTCTTTCTTTCTTAGCCCCAGCCAGCGCAACAACAACAACAACAACAACAACAACAACAAGCAACATAACAACAACGGCCTTCCACCTCCTCCCTCCCTCTCTCTCTCTCTCTCTCTCTCTAACAACAACAACTTTCCTTTCTTTTAACAACAACAACAACAACAACCACAGCATATTGGGGACATTCTGGACTAAAGATGTTTCTCATTCCACCCCAATCATTCCTGCTATGTAACAGCATGGTCTTTTGGTTTCCATTAACAGAAACCCAGAAACAAGTCAGCTTAACTTAGGTTAAAAATATTTAATGGATCCCATGTTCCAGGAGCAAGGTGTTTATTTTCTGATGATGCACTGGATATAGAGCCTTTCTTTCTTTCTTTCTTTCTTTCTTTCTTTCTTTCTTTCTTTCTTTCTTTCTTTCTTTCTTTTCTTCCTTCCTTCCCTCCCTCCCTCCCTCCCTCTCTCTCTCTCTCTCTCTCTCTCTCTCTTTCTTTCTTTCTTTCTTTCTTTCTTTCTTTCTTTTCTTTCTTTCTTTCTTTCTTCTTGTAATGAGGACATTCTGGACTAAAGATGTTTCTCATTCCACCCCAATCATTCCTGCTATGTAACAGCATGGTCTTTTGGTTTCCATTAACAGAAACCCAGAAGCAAATTAGCTTAACTTAGGTTAAAAATATTTAATGGATCCCATGTTCCAAGAACCAAGGTTAGTATTTTCTGATGATGCTGGATATAGAGGCACAAATGATATGACGAGAATTCGTTATTTCCTTCCTAATCATGTATTTTTTCTCTATTTTGCCTCTATTTTCTTAGAGTTTTGTTTTCCCTTGGTTCTAATATTGCTTTCAGTATCTTCTGGGGTTACCTTTTTTTAAAAATCCTATCTAACAGAAAAAAAAGGGTGAGTCTGCTTTTCTGATAGCTTAAAAAATATCCCAGAATTTAGTCTTTTGTCTCTGATTAGCTTGACATAGCAACATATCTATCCCTGAAACAATCTCATTAGCAGTATGCAGCATTTTATTTCCTTAAACTCCCCTTAGAGCTACAAATGGACTCAACTCCAACAAATATATAGATTGAGAGTGGAGGAAAGATACCACTCTTCAAATGAAATCTGAGATTTTTGCAAAAGAAGAGTAAATCAATACTGAGTAACAAAAACAAACTATGTTCAATGCACAGATCCTTCTATTAGACCCCAAAGACATAATAACTAATTAAATTCTAATCAACCACAGAACTGAAAGATCCATTACATCTCATGTAACACAGAGATTGCAAATTCGTGGTTCAAGGAGTGGATTTATTTTTAAAAATGTATATTTCTAAGATTTATACAGGTTGTTTCTTTATTGTAATGTGACTTGATACATTTTTTTCTGGAGATAAATAGTTGCTTTATTCTTTAAGCAAAGATACATGCTTCAGTTCACCGTATCTCAACTATTCTATATTGTCTCCTCAACACAGGAGACAAACTTAAGTAATCAGAATTCAATATATTTGTCCTGTTAACATTTTTGAAGAAAAAAAAAATGTGTCTCTATTAAAATCGTGGTGGTGGTAGAATGAGTGTTTTATGTGCATCGAGAAAATGGAAGTAGATATATTCTTTGGGGAAGTAAAGAATAGCCTTAAAAGTTTAATAAGCCGACACTTAAGGTACATAATTTATTTACATTTTAAAAAGTAGGCTTTTGCATTGGAACCCCATGTCAGTTTTATTCATCATTTTACGGAAGGTGAGACTAAGACTAAAGATGTTAGCATCTTGACGAGATCCCATACAGAAGTAATGGAGCTGAGATTATTGTGTCCACATGTTTTTCTCTCCTCCCGCACTTCTCAGGCCCCACCACATGCACCATGAACACATTATAGAAAATTGGGAAAATAGAGGAAAAAACATTTTATTTAAGCTGTAAAATTGATGTAAATATTTGCAGGGAAAAGAATCTCACATATAATTTTACCACACTAAAAGCAAAAAGTTATTTTTTTCTTTTCTGTTACTCTTAATAACTATTATTTTATATTATAATTATGGTATGTATGCAACACTGTGTCCTGTTTTGTTAAAATGTTTTATATGCATTTATTTTTGTCATGATACAGTATTCATCACTATGAAATGTGCATATAATGATCCAATAACAAATGTGCTACAATTTTGTGACCCTTCCTTTTTTATTTCTTTGCACATTCCCCAAACTTTTCTTTCTCTTCTATTTTGAATTCCATTCCAACCACTCTTCCAATCAAATGAAAAATATTTCACAGGAATTCCCCAAAGCATTTAGATGAGCATTTAGTGGCAGGCTTAAGGAAGGGGTAAGAATCTTAATCTAGGATTCAGAAATTGGTAAATTAAGAAGGAAAATCCAAAGGGAACATTCCAGATTGGCAGGGAAGTAGAAGGGTCTAACGGTTTTTATTAGCAATAGTTCCATAATATGTAGAGGAACCCAAAGATATTAAAGCCAGTTCTTGAGATTCTCATATATGGGAGATACAGAAGAAATACAGAGAGCAGGCATGCCCTGATTAAGGGCTCAAATGATTTGTCCATTAGATTCCTTCTCACACTTGTTCTTTGTCTATATATTGACTCTTCTATATCTTTAAACGGGTCCAGTCACAGTGTTCTGAAGAATGCTACTGCCAGTCCAGTTGACATTTTTGTATTACCATGACATCCAAGGAAAGAGCAATATTTCTAGGCAGAAAAGTCCCAGGGAAGCATGATAAGGCTTGGTTCATGTACCCATTTCCAAAATAATTATGGTGGTCAGGAAAATAGACTATTCATTCATTCTTCATTTATGCATTTGTTCATTTGTTCTGCACAGACCCATGTTATGTATTCACTCTGAGGAGATAAGCGTATGCAATCCATTAGCAGATGAAAGGGAATGAGATAGAAGCATGCTAGTATCTACTAGCTAGCACAATAGCTCAAAACTGGAGTGACAAGAAGAGTTAGAATTTGAGGGCTTATGGTAAAGGCAAAATATTAGAAATGGATAAACCATTCTACCAATATTTATTGATCCCTAGAGATTTTCTAAATCCATTGTATGAATTCAAATAATATTCAAATGAACGAAATTTTATTCTGGACCAGAAGGAATTATTTGCTCTTGAAGGCAACAAGAAAAGGAAATGCAAGGTGTCACAAAATTGGATTCTAAAGGTGTCAACTAGGAGAGGCACTGATGGGGAAGAGATTGAACTGGAGACAGAAAAGCTTTATGGGGCAGATGAGCTTTTGAAGGATAAATAAGTAATTGTCAAATAGTTATGATGAGCACAGTGTGTGAGAAAGATGGGAAGGAACATTCAAGCTGGAATAGTGAGGAAAAGCAGGGAGTAAGTTTGGATAAGTGAGTAAAACTTACATTGGGCATGAATTATTTTCATTATGATGTCCGTTCAAAAGACTTAACCCCAACGCTTTTAAATTGTTTGAAAAAACTTTATATTGAAAGTTAAAATGCATCAGAATGAGAAAACCTAAAGGTATTATATAGTTATCAAAAGTAAACTATAAATAACCAGAAAAACATGAAAAGATGCCTACCAGTACTAATTAAAGGAGAGAAAGAAAAACATTTTTATCAAAAGATTCCTAAGTCTAGTTTTAGCAAGGATATGGTTAAACAAGCATCCTTATGCACTTTTGTTCTGACTATAATTTCCTAAAAAAAAAGAAATATGTCCACATGACTTTAATTAAGAATTTTAATTTTAAGAATTTACATTAAGTAAATAATTAGTAGATGGGTGAATATGTTCAATATAATATTCAAATAAGAAAAAAGCAGTTAATATATCTAAAATCGAGGTGTCAATTTCATAAATGAATTGAAAATAATTCAATAGGCTATGACACAAAATCAGAAAATAATGTGGTTCTATATGTACTTTCTTAACAGGTGATTATAATTTATCAAATTTTAAACAAAAATTTGAAAATTTCAAAGAAATATATGCTGAACTGTGAACAGCAGTCATCTTAGAGGCTTGCAGTGTAAGAGAGTGAAATCATTTATACCTGACGTTATAAATGGTGGTGCTGTTTAAATTATTTTGTAGCAAGAATTTATTTATTTACAGTCAACAAAACACGCACACATACGTTTAGCAAAAAGAAAGAAAATTATTAAAGAATAAGTGAGTCAGGCAGAAACTGATAACATGACTGACTCGAAAGAAGCAGTGAAAAACAGTAGAAAATGAACTGGCTGTCAAAGTCAAACTGATATGGTGGCAATTAGCTGATGAATTTGAGCAGTGGAAACATTGACTTGGACAGCTGAGATAAAATTCCACTTGAAAAAATATGTCTGGCTGATCTGTTTGGAAGATATCAGCCTGCATATCAATTCGTTCTATAGAAGAAATATCATAGAAGTATTTGACTATGCAATACGGGTAGGCTGAGTATTAAGAACACTGGAGATACCTAAATTATAATTTGCAAAACATTAATTAAGCCATTAAGATTCATATTACAAAGGCACTTTATGTATGTGCGTGTATATTTACATATGTATGTGTATATGTATATATAGAAACACATATATATGTGAGTCACCCTGGAGTTTTTTTAAATAACAAGTGTTTCTAGCATAATTAAGAAGTAACTACATTTACAAAACTTTCACTTACCAAAAGCTTGCCACAGTCACAGCAGCTGCATGAAGCAAAGCTTATCTGTTGTTCCCCCTTTGATGATCTTTGATGATGTTTAACAGGAATTTCCATTTGGCTGTGACCTTGTGGATCTGGTCAAAATGTACTGCTAACCCTGGTTAGGTCCATCAGTGCAAATAAAATAAAATGGTTGACATTTATATGGTGAAATTGATCAATGTAGACAGGCACTGTGAATAAATCAACCTTTAAAAGTCATAAAATCTTGTTTTGTGTAATTTTATATACTTGGCAAAAGCATTTTTATAGAGTCACAATCTTTTAGAATTAGAAAGGCCTCCAATACTCATGTGACCCAGGTTTCTCATCTTATAACTTTAAGAAACAACGTCCAAAGACTTAGAAAACTTGCCTCAGGTACCCATTTCCATCAGCTGAAAATGGAGAACCAGAAATATGTCTGCTAAGTTCAACTGCAAAGTCTTTTCCCAATAAGCAATGTGTTATCTCATTTGTTTCTTAAGGTTACAACTTCAGTTCAAAATAGGTGAGGCAGAGAGTATGTTTACTACTGGTTCCTACTAGTAACTACTACTTACTGTAGTCAAGGGTCTATTAAATCTTTCCCTGGCCAGATAGACACACACACACACACTCATACATACATTACAATATAAAAGTTTTCATCCTGCAAATCAAGACTTCCCTGTCTTTTATGTCTTTTATGACTTAAATGTCTTTTCTCCTTACTTGGGCTGTTATCTTTTTTAAAGACCTCACTCATTTCGCATCTGCAAAAAATGATCTGTCTCTATGTAGATGATCCTTGGACATTCATCTTCATCTCTGGCATCTCTCTTCAGGCATCTGCTATGTATTTATAATTGTTTTATGTTTCTTCCCAGTTCTAGAGAAATTCTGAAGCCAACATACACAAGGAAATGTAGGTAAAAAAGAAACTTAGGTAGTAATAAAAGTGTTCCAAGGCATCTGATTGCCTGGACTCAGTTATGATTAAAATGAGCAAGATCTGTCCCTGCCTCTTCTGCACTTTGGATGCTGAGTCAATGAATACTATCTTTACCTTTAATTAAAATTGGGATTCTGCTACGTATACAACTGACTGGGATGAAGTATTATCTAATAAATACACATACAAACTCACCTATAGATGGATACAGCTACCTATATCTATATTAGTCTATCTAGCTCTCATGTTTTGTATCTGATTCCAACTAGATATAGATATAAATATAGAGATAGAGATAAAGATACGGTGCAACTATCGATAGTGAAATATCGTGTTGTACAAAGGTGGAACAATGACACCTCTCATTCCACATGCTCTTCTGCAATGGAAACTGCCATTACTCCATCAAAAGGTGGGGCCTATCTCTTCAACACCTTGAATATGGGTTGGTCTTGTGATTGTTTTGACTAATAGAATACGTTGGAAATGATATTGTGCCAGTTCTAAACAAATCTTTTAACTCTTAGGCAACTTCTGCCATCCGTGTCTTGGAATCCAGTCACCATGTAAAAAATATCACTGCCCTGAGACCACCCACCATGCTGTTCAGAAGCCCGAGCAAGTGAAGTCACCGTATACTAGAACAGTAAGAAGTCATGTGAAGGCAGAGAAAGAGAGAGAGGGAGAGAAAGAAGGATGAGGAAGAGGGAGAAGAAGAAGAGGAGAAAAGAGTTAAAAGGAGAGGGGACAGGAGAGAAAGGAAAGGCAGGGGAGGGGAAGAGGAGGGGAAGGGAAGAGAGAGGAAGGGAGGGGAGGGGAGGGCAAGAAGCACTGAGGTGCCAACCTGTGAGTTCAAAAGCCCTTGGACGGGCACGGTGGCTCACGCCTGTAATCCCAGCACTTTGGGAGGCTGAGGCAGGCGGATTACGAGGTCAGAAGATCGAGATCATCCCAGCTAACACAGTGAAACCCCATCTCTACCAAAAAAATACGAAAAAAAATTAGCCGGGCGTGGTGGCAGGCACCTGTAGTCCCAGCTACTAGGGAGGCTGAGGCAGGAGAATGGTGTGAACCCGGGAGGTGGAGCTTGCTGTGAGCGGAGATCTTGCCAGTGCACTCCAGCGTGGGCGACAGAGCGAGACTCAGTCTCAAAAAATAAAAAATGATAGTTAAAAAAAAAAAGAAGCCCTCATCTTGGAAGTGCATCCTCCACCCTAAGCTGTCCGCAGTGGGTATCACATGGATCAGGGAAAAGCTGCCCAACCAAGCCCTTCAAAATTTCTAACACACAAAATTGTGAGAAAAGCCAATTGGCTGTTTTGCAGTATTAAAAGTTACAGGATAGCTTTTACACAGAAATAGATAATCAGGAAAAAATAATGTGGAGAAAATCAGTTAGGCAAGAAACTTCAGAAAATGTTAAAAATATAGGTGGAAGGTTTTTTTCCTGGAGTAAGGAACATGGAAGGATGTTGTAGAAACAAAGCCTGTACGGGGCTGATTTGAGTGCCTTCGTGGATACTAAGTAGTATGGACATTGCTGTACCTGTAAGCTAGATCCCTGAATATTTTGATTATTGCAGTGGTTAACATTATCTGAGCTATGAAAGTTAACAGTCCAGACTGGAGAGCCAGACTGCCTCTGTTCTAACCCCATTCTCCTTCATACAAACTGTTAGCTTTAAGACAATTACTTTGCCTCTATGTTTCAGAATATCCATCTATAAAATTGGTGTAATAATATTACCTACAGCATAAGGTGTTAGGAAGATTAAATGAATTAGTATTTGCATAGTGCTGAGGACAGTGACCAGCATAGAGATGCATTCAGTTTCAGTTAATCATTCAAAAATGATTGATTCAGACATCTCAGGATACATATATAGGACTCATTCATTTATTTTCTGGGGGAAGCGGTTGGGGTAGTTTTTATTTTTTGTTGTGGAAATTTTTATAACATAAAACTTACCATTGTAACCATTTTAAATTTATAGGCCAGCGGCATTAAGTATAATACATTTTTGTCATTGTGCAAACATCACCAGCATTTATCTCCAGAACATTTTTATTTTCCCATACTGACACTCTATACCCATTAAACAATAACCTCCCATTTCCTCCTCCCCTTCACCCCTACAAACCCCTATTCTATTTTCTGTCTTTATGAATTTGACTATTCTAAGTACTACATACAAATGCAACCAGAAGTATTCGCCCTTTTGGGACTGGATTATTTCACTTAGCATGACATTTTCAAGGTTCATCATGATGTAGCATGTGCCAGAATTTCTTTCCTTTTAAAGAATGAATAATATTCCGCTGTATGTATATATCATATTTTGTTTATTCATTGATCTTCATCCATCTGTGGACACTGGGTTGCTTTCATCTTTTGACTATTGTAAATGATGTTGCTATAAGCATAAGTGTAGAAATATTTTTTTCAAGGGCCTGCCTGTAATGTTTTTGGGTATATACTCACAAGTAAAATTACTTCTTTCATGGTAATTCAAGTGGTAATTCTACCTTTATTATTTTTTGAGGAAACATCACACTGTTTTCCACAGTGGCTGCACCATTTTGCAATATCACCAGCAATGTGAGATTGTAACAAGGGTTATAATTTCTCCACATCCTCACCAACATTTGTTATTTAATATTTTAAGTTAATAGTCATCATAATGGATGGCTATTCATTTGTTTAACAAGTAGTGATTCAAAATCTACTATGTAAGAGACAATGTATTAGGAGCTAGCCATACAAAAGGCAGACCTGGCCAGCTTGGTTGGTGAGACAGAAAAGTAATTAAGTGTTAGAAAGCCATGTAATAAGTGCCATGAGGCAGTAACCCCTCAAAAGGCATAGAGGAATGACAGCAGGACACCTAACACTACCCAGAGGGTTTCTTATAATAGGTGGTATTATTAGGTGGAAAATCAACCAAAGGAGGGCATTGGCTATGTGACAGCCACAGTACACAGCCAATGAAAAGGCTCTGAGGAAGCAGAGGGGTCATGGAATCATCAGCTCACTAAAAATACTCTTATAGCCAGAGAGAAGAGTGTGGAGAGACTGGCGAGGAACAGGGCCTGAAGATAAACTGGGGTGGGTTCTGAAAAGCCACGTTTTAGAATTGTCCTCTTTCTGCCTAAATATATCTAGAAGTCCAAATTGCCAGTACCTCAACATGAGACCTTACTTGGAAATAGGATTATTGCAGATGTGATTAGTGAAGATGAGATCATACTGGAGGAGAGTGGGCCCCTAATTCAACACACATAGTGTTCTTATAAGAAGATGGTCCTGTGAAGACAGAGACATACAAGGAGAATGCCCTGAGATTATGAAGATTGGAATGATGCATTTACAAGCCAACCGTCGCTGACAAATGCTGGCAAGCTCCCAGGAGGTAGGAAGAGGCAAGGAAGTATTTCCCTAAACGTTTCAGAGGGGCCATGCCCTGCCAATACCTTAATTTCAAACTTACAGCCTCCAGAACTGTGGAAAACATAGACTTCTGTTGTTTAAGTCACTAGGTTTGTGGCACTTTGTTGTGGAAGCTCTAGGAAACTAACACATGATGTAACAAACAGTGGAAGTTATCCTAGAAAAAGATGATGGACCAGTGAAGAAAGATTAGGAACAAGACAGAGAAACTGGTGAGGCTAGTTGGAAAGTCAGAGAGGTGTTTTACATAGTGAGTACAGGGACGGTGGACTCAGATAGACAAATGGAAGAGCTGTGAGATGTTTAGTCCAACAAACACTAGGATTCAGCCATAATAATAATACCAATAAGACTAAAATGATGGTGATGATAGTTAAGAACAAATATTTACTAACTACTTGCTCTTTGCCAAATACTGAGATAAACATTTAATTCTGAATTATTTATTTTGCAAAACACACCTACAATGTAGCACTATTTTTTACATCTGCCATTATAAGGAAAGCAAGTTTATTTTTTCCTTTTCATTTCTTTTATTTTTTGTGACAGGATCTTGGTCTGTCACCCAGGCTGGAGAGCAGTTGCTTAATCATGGCTCACTGCAGACTTGAACCCCTGAGCTCAAGTGATCCTCCTGCCTCAGCCTCCTCAGTAGCTGGGATTACAGGCTCACATCACCATCTCCACTAATGAAAGCAAGTTTTGAAGAAGGCTTGTCCAAAAATAAATGGAGATGGATTCTGACTGAATCAGATTTTCTGCAGAGCCTGCATTCAGAGCCATTTATCTCTACTATTTTCATTAAAATGAATAATAGAGGAGTGAGAAAAAAGAATTAAGAATATATTTATATGGATAAATTAAAAATTGCTAAAGCTTAGAAGATTAGGTGAAGAAGAAATGGATGGTGTCATTCAAACAAACAAGAGTGTTGAAATTTGGAGCAGGTGCAGGCCCATGAAGAAGGAAACTGAGTCCTTCTCTTTCGGGGACAACAAATTGCATCATGTCCCCACCCCTGAATGAGCCTGCTCATTTCCTCTGGGTGTTGTCCCCCATCCTGTTTCAGCCACTCCATGAATGACGTGCAGCTGCACTCCCTTCCCTGTGTTCCAGGAAAGCATCTGGAAATAAACAGCGCTGAGCCCTGCTGCAGAGACAAAGGCATTGTTTCTTTAATAACACGTCTCTTTGGAAACCGTCTCCAGACCTACTTCACAAGCCCGGCGGTGCTGACCCCGACATGATGTAGCTTGCTCAGTTCTTCTGGGAAAAGGAGCCTGTGGGAGATACAGCGGCTCCCTAAAGAGAAAGCAAGTTGAGATTTGGAGGGGACTTTGGTCCCCTTAGAATGTAACAGGCAGGTACTTACTTAAGAATGCAGATGGTGAGATCCACAGTTTATTTAACTGTGTGTGTGTGTGTGTGTGTGCGCGTGTGTTCCAAGCATGCTGTTACCTGGAAACCCAGGAGAAGTGAAACATCACTCCAACCAGTGTAATAATGACAGCATACTCTGAAATAACACCTGCTGATATTTATATCATACAGGTGACACTGTTGGGAAGGTAGGAGGTACTGTTTATTGAGTACATGCTAGGCACATTGTTTATCTCATTTCCTGTATATGCTTCAGTTAACTGCTGCAAAAAAAAAAAAAAAAAATGAAAACGTCAACCATGAAACCTCAGAGGCAAATAAAATAAATGCTCAGATGTATTCATGACGCTAGAGTCATCTGGTCAGTTCTGCTGTTCTGAGCTGATCTCGGTGGGGCTCAGTCAAGAGTGGTCAACAGTGTTTGTGCCAGGCAGCTATGCAGATCGGAGGAGGGCGCTTACATGTCTGAAGGCTTGGCCTGGATGACCAGGCTGATTGAGCACTGTTCCACTTGCCACTTTCTTCAACAGTCTTTCTTACGCATGTTCTCATGGGGAAGGCTGAGAAGTAAAAGAGGAAGCATTAACACATGAAGACATGTTGGAGTCTCTCCTTGTGTGACATTTTCTATGTCTCCATTGACCAAAGAAAGTTAAAGGGCTAAGGTAGAAGTCAGCATGGGTGGTGTGGTGGTTAATACTGAGTGTCAACTTAATTGGATTGAAGGATGCAAAGTATTGTTCCTGGGTGTGTCTGTGAGGGTGTTGCCAAAGGAGATTAACATTTGAGTCAGTGGACTGGGAGCGACAGACCCACCC